GTTGGTTGCTAGGGAGGCGGTAGCAGGTGGTGGCTGTGGCTACGCAGTTGGAGGAAGTTGTAGGGGAGACGTCCACTACAGGTCTCTCGTCATTTTTGTCGGTTTTGAAGTGGATTGCTCTTTCTTAAATTTTTGAAGTTTATCGTAGGTAAACTTTCGTATAATATTATGTTTTTTTTTGTATATCACCTGTATTTTTAAACTTTTTCAAAACTTTTTAGGCTCTGATGATGGCAAAGGATCATTTCCGAAACATTAGCAATTAAACGAAGCCCTACTTCAAGATGTTTGTGTTTACCCTGGTTCTCCTCTTCATTATAAAACTAAGCTTTCCACGTAACAAGTCCATTGCTGAAGTTATATATATATATATATATATATATATATATATATATATATATATGCCATATATATATATATATATATTATATATACCTGCCTGCCTGCCATGGCGTATATATATATATTATATATATATATATATATATATATAATATATATATATATATATATATATATATATATATATATATATATATATATATATATATATATATATATATATATATTATATATATATATATATATATATATATATATATATATATATATATATATATATATATATATATATATATATATATATATATATATATATATATATATATAGATTGTACCCTTAGCAGTCAATAAAGCCAGAATTGCCGTGTTAAGTGAAAACCGCGCTAAGTGAACAACAGAACATATAGGATTAATTCCAATAGAAACTGGCCCGACTCCCAAACTCCACTTTTTCCGACACAATACCTATGTTCTAGTAAAAATAACATCTTAATTTTATGATGGTACATGCACACAATTAATACTTAAGAGAAATAGAGAAATACAGTCGCCAAGTTAATGTCCATTCAAATAATGGACTCAACTCCCTCCCCCTCTTCTCACACTACACTGCTGGCTCTTCCCTCTCTGAGAAATTTTGGGGGGAAAACCACTAAATTTTAATAAATAATACCTCAAACTAAAGTTAGGATAATACAATTGACATTGCTGGATTCCTTGTAAGACCAGGAATATTTTGAATATATATGTCATATATTTTGCACAAAAGATAACATATTTACTCAGAGTAAACATTATATCTAAAATTTGTATGTCTAATGCAAAATCTATGATGTTTATATTCAAAATGATCACCAAATTGTGAGAATTCCAGCAATATAAATTATATTCTGGCCAGGTAATTTGTATGAATTTTATGAGCTAAAACAAATATCTTCAGTTAATAAAAAAAAAAAATATTCTTCACGACACTATCTGTCAATCAAAGTACCCCACCTTGCCTTCCCCCCTCTTCCAACCGAGCGGTCAGTCCCAACCCTCCCCCCCACCCCCCACCAATCCTCCCTTCAAGAGATGTGGGGTGAAAAAAATAAATTTTAACATTTTGTATTAAATAATACCTCAGATTAAAGTTAGGATAATATAATTGACATTGCTGGATTCCTTGTACGACCAGGAATATTTTGAATATAAATGTCATATATTTTGCACAAAAGATAACATATTTACTCAGAAAACATTTTATCTAAAATTTGTATGTCTAATGCAAAATATATGATGTTTATATTCAAAATGATCATCAAATTATAAGAATTCCAGCAATGTAAATTATATTCTGACTGGGTAATTTGTATGAATTTTATGAGCTAAAACAAATATCTTCAGTTAATAAAAAAAAAAAAATATTCTTCACAGGGTAACAGATGTTCGGTCGGTCCCTCCCTCCCCCCCACCCCCCACCAACCGTCCCAAGGAGATGTGTGGGAAAACCAGAATACTTAACTTTTTTGTAATAAATAATACCTCAAACTAAAGTTAGGATAATATAATTGACATTGCTGGATTCCTTGTAAGACCAGGAATATTTTGAATATAAATGTCATATATTTTGCACAAAAGATAATATAGTTACTGTACTTAGAGAAAAAATTTTATCTAAAATTTGTATGTCTAATGCAAAATATATGATGTTTATATTCAAAATGATCACCAAATTATAAGAATTCCAGCAATGTAAATTATATTCTGGCCGGGTAATTTGTAAGTGAATTTTTTATGATTAAAACAGCAGTCAGGCAGGGTGGCGGTAAGCAATCTAAAATAGCGTTTCGAGCCGGACACTCTCACTGCTGCATAGTGACCCCTCGCTTAACGTAATAATTCTCGTTACAATGAATTTCGATTAACGAACTGCCTTCCATAAGGATCTTCAATTCGTTTAACGAAAAAAATTTCGCTTAACGAACTTCTTACGAACCGACCTCAACATGTTTTCGCTTGCACTGACCGGGCAACCAGCTTTAGTATCAGTCCGCCAATACATTAATCGGTTCTAGGGCTTAAATTCCTTACTATTTTTGTAAATATCAAAAAGTTTATACTATTCAATAATTTTAAAAGTTTAATATTCAATTTTTTAGTCATTTTAACAATTATTGAACAAAATTGAAGGTAAAGTGACTAGTTTAATGCGCGGCATCCAGCCTCTTAACACAGCAAACAGGCGTCAGTCTCTCTCTGTTTTCACTGGAAGTAACATCTTGTTTGAGACTCTCTTCAACTAAACGCTTTTTTTCTGTGTTTCCAAGCAAATTATTGGTCATTTTGAAAATTATTTTACATATTGACAATATATAGTGCAGTGCAGTGTTATTTTAAAGAAAATATTCTTTATTTACAGCTAGTTTAACTTTGAAAAATACGTGTTGCCATTGTTTGAATCCAGCATGGGGCCTAAGAAATCAAGAAAAGCGATTTCAATCCAATTAAAGCAGGAAATAATAAAAAACACGAACAAGGTATTAAATCAAATGCGCTATGCAAAGAATATGGCATGTCGGCATCAACTGTGTCGACAATTCTTGCACAAAAAGACAAATTTAAGGAAGTGAACGTGAGAGACAAATCTACAAGAGTGTTTAAAAGTAGATCCCTAATCGTAGAAACTGAGAGGTTACTTATCATCTGGATTAGGGAAAAACAGATGAAAGGTGATTCAGTTTCTGGTGATTTCATTTGTGAAAGAGCCAGGGAGATTTATGAACATTTAAAGACAGATCAACCTGGTTCTTCAGGAACAGAATTTGAAGATTTTTGGGCTAGCAAAGGCTGGTTCGAAAAATTTAAGAAAAGAAGTGACATTTTAAGTGTTGTTAGGCATGGTGAAGCTGCTAGTGCTGATAAAGAAGGGGCAGCAAAGTTTTTAATTGAATTTAAAAAACTGATGGAAGAAAATTATCTTCCACAGCAAGTTTTCAATGTTGACGAAACTGGGCTGTTCTGGAAAAAGATGCCCAAAAGAACATTCATCACCAAGGATGAAGCCTCTTTACCTGGGCATAAACCCATGAAAGACCGTCTCACTCTATTGCTTGGTGCCAATGCTTCAGGGGATTTCCGACTGAAGCCTATGCTTGTCTACCACTCTGAAAACCCCAGGGTGTTCAAGCAACAGAAAGTGGTAAGAACAATGCTTGGAGTTTATTGGAAGTCCAACCGTAAGGCATGGGTGACAAGACAGTTCTTTAATGAATGGGCTGTTGATGTGTTTTGCCCCTCTGTCAAGAGCTACCTAACCACCAATAAACTTCCTTTAAAGGCTCTTCTCCTCATGGATAATGCTCCTGGTCATGACCCTGACCTTGCCAGAAATTTGGAGTATAAATTTGACTTTGTGAAAGTGTTGTTTTTGCCGCCAAACACTACATCACTCATACAGCCAATGGACCAGAATGTGATCAGCAACTTCAAGAAGTTGTACATGAAGAAAATGTTTAGGAGGTGTCATCAGGCAACTTCCATTGATCCTGAACTAACACTGAAACAGTTCTGGAAGACACAATTCAACGTCCTGGAGGCTGTAAAATTGATTGTGTCATCATGGCAAGAAGTCTCCAATAGAACCCTCAATTCTTCATGGAAAGCACTGTGGCCATCAGTAGTCCATGATTTTGAGGGATTTGAGGATGACACAGAGTTGGACCAGGAGATTGTGTCCATTGGTCAGTCATTGGGTCTTGAAGTGGAGGAGAAGGATGTGGAAGAGCTTGTGATGTCTCATGAGGAGGAACTTACTCCTAATGACTTGAAGGAACTGGATGAGATGTTACGGGTAGAGGCTGACAGTGGTGAGGAGGAAATTGAAAGTGATGACCATATGTCAGCTAAACAGTTGAAAGATGTGATTTACCACTGGGAGAAGTTCAGGGAACTGGCTTCAAAGCACCCAGAAGTGGAAAAAACTGAACTAACTTTGTGTCATGTTGAGGACTCAGTGGTCTCCTTCTTTAAACATAAGTTAATGGTGAGGAGGACAGATGCCCCACAGACCACAATTGACACTTTCTTCAGTAAAAGGCAGAGGGAACAAGATGCTAGCCCTCAGCCTTCCACTTCAAGAAGGAGAGAGGATGTTCATGGTGGAGAATCTGTCAGTCCAGAGGTTCCTGACATTTTCATGGAAGGTGACTCACCTTCCAAGAAGCAGTAAAATGCTTCTCCTCCACTTCCTTCTCTTCTCCCTTCTCCTCCTGCACCTCCCACTTCAAATGCACATCATCACCATCATCCAGGAGCCTTCTACATACACACCTCAAAGTAAGTAAATTTTTCCGCTATTTTTGTTGAAGTTAGGAAATTTTCGGTGAGCTGGAACCAATTACCCAAAAACCCATTGAAACAATGGTTTCGGTTAACGAACGTTTCGGTTAACGAACGACCTTCTGGAACGGATTGAGTTCGTTAACCGAGGGGCCACTGTATATGTATATGTATATATATATGTATATGTATATGTATATATATATGTATATGTATATATATATATATATATATATATATATATATATATATATATATATATATATATATATATATATATATATATATATATATATATATATATATAAGATAGGAAATAAATAAATAAGAAAAAGTAATACAGTTAAAATACTATTTAATTTACCTTTAATGCGACCATAATTCTGCTTCCAATGTGAAGTGATGGTACTGTAACTAAAATTACATTCAAATTACATCAGGGATGTTGGCTATTGGGCAAACTAAAATCGTGCCGGACCACGGGAGTTTCCGGATCACAGAGTGCTGGACTAGAGAGGTACAACCTGTACTATACAAAATACATTTCTCTTGACAGATTCACATTTAATTTTACTCTTAATACAAGTATGGAGACCAGTGCACTGATCACCAGAGGCAAAATTTGTGTTATAAATATGTACAGCCACTGAGGAAGCCGGGAAGTTATACCTAGAGGTTGAAACCACAAACCATGATGCATCCCATCACGTACCTGGTGGCTAAAAATACAAACCACAATGAGTGTACCTAATTTCAAACACCACATGTAATGAACAATGAGAGCTGAGATGTATAGAAGAAGAGTTAGAAGGAGTGGTGGCAGGGAAAAGTGAAGACAACCTCTCTCCCAAGGCACACGTGATCCACCCTGCCAAAAGAAACAAAAACAATGCAGTATTAAGTTGTATTTTTAAAATGATGCTAAAAAAAAGTCTTTCAAAGAACATCACATAAATTTTAGTGGCATTAAACTTCACATTCATTTTAGCTCTATAGTTATAGAACATCTTGGTACACAAAAGAGTAATTTAAAGGAAACTACCGTACATTTTGCCTTATAAGACAAACTCATCCTGCTGAAGGTTCACCGACTAAAGCCAAGGCCGTAATATTTAAGGGCTAGTAGTCCGGGCTCTCCAGACACCTAATGATAAACATTTATCGAAAACTTATTTCTTACCTCTAGAATAAAGCAAATTGGGTGGAGGACTAGCAAGTTTCCTATTTGTGTTTTTCCTAAAGATAATATAGAAAAAGCTGCCACTGCTGCTGCCTGCACATGAGACCCACTGCCATCTTTGTTTATGTGAGCATCAGGAGGCATCATTATGTACAAGTACTATACCTGTAGTCCAAATGTTTCAAAGACATTAATATTAATGTTATTCCATAATCACTCGCTAATAAGAAACAAAAGCAGCAAATTTAAACAAAAATAATTTAGATGATAAATTAATCTTTCTTACGTTAATAATAATATTAATACATCATCCCAAAAGAGAACAAGATTTAATATTAATTACACTGTAGCAGGTAGGATTAGTTTGCTGTAAAAGAACTATTCTATTAAACTGAGACATCAAGTAATTTCATCTTATATTGGGAACACAACATTACCCCTCTAACTACTGGAAAATAAAAAATCCCAACATCAATTTTTTTTGTTTTTTTGCAAAATTAGCTCATTGTACTACAGTATAGCAAAATCAATTTACCATTATTATTTGCACAAGATCCTTCATGACATGGTCCAAGTCCACAACACAGGAAAGCATGAACGCCACACCAAAGTTGTATATAGTGTCAATAGGCATATCTAAGAACACTCTTCTTTGCCTATCTCTCTCATGTCCAAGTCCAAGGCAGGAAAGTAAATAGGATACATCCAGCACCAGGTCAGGACACAGAAGACAAGTTAGCCAAAATGAGAAGCCTCCAATCAGACCATGAACTACTGTATCAGTAGCTCTTAAAAGAGACCTAAAAAAGTAAATACATTTGTTATACAGTACAGTATAATATAAAACACATACTACAGTATACATACCGTATATCTCGGCTTATAAGACGGAATTTGAACATTAAAAAAATCTGCCCAAAGTTAGGGGGTCGTCTTAATCACCAAGTATAAAATTCTTACCTCTTAAATATTGCGTGTCAAGAGTGGTGATGGAAACATGGTAAACCACTCACAAAGTCCTACCAGGGAAAGTGACCTTGACTGTGACCGCCTGTAGCTATTTTTAGCCGTCCTTGTGTTCGGAGGTGGTCAGTAATGCATATCTGTATATTTACTGATCATAATACTTATCTCCTATAAATAATTAATTTAAAATTAATTTTTTTACAAAGAATATTCAGTAAATGACTGCGTTAATTCTTGAAACTACCGACAGTGGTAAATTTAGGATATAAATGATGAACAGAAGTCACTTCATGGAGTCATGGATTCGGAGTTTGGTCCTTAATGATCACCTACCAGTTATAATGCTAGCCTCCCTTTTTCGCGAAACAAGTATATAAATTAAAGAAAATACTTGCAGTGTGTTTAATGTATTACAGTATATTATAAATAAATAAATAAACAAATAAATCGGCAAATCTATTTTAAGTAAATGGAAATATTTTACTCACACCAACATTAGTTCCAATTAAATAACTGCCGCTTAAGTGAGTCACTAGTGTACACCAGCCGGTATAATTTGATGCCAATACTTGAAGTGAATTGGCATTATTTTAAATAACCAACAATAAATAAATGGAAAAAAGATCAAAGGTGAGAAACATTATATTGTATGTATGTTGTGTTGTCAAAGGAAGAGAAACAATTGAAACTCTGCAATTGTGTGTAAATGAGACAGAAAGATAAATCAGCAACCTAAGACTTGGTCACAATTTTCGTGATGCCATATGGAAGTAGGGTCTACCATTAGACAATACTGTACATTGTGCTTCCAATATCTTCCCAGGCAGTAGAATCTCCCCATTTGGTAGCTGCCTAAAACTTTTAGTAATATTACTTTGATACAACATGATAAATTAGACAAACAATGAAAATAAACAAACAAAAGTTATTTACCAAGACCTCTCTGAGAACAGAGGGATGTAGGGGGAAGGAAGGAGGTTGAGATAAGACGGCTATTTATAGCCTGTCTTTGTGTAGGAAGTCGACCACACTAGAAATAATTAATTTTATTATGGTAGTGTTGTGAGGATGTGTGAGTGGTGTGGGGGGTTGTGGTAGTGTTGTGAGGATGTGTATGTGGTGTGGGGGGTTGTGGTAGTGTTGTGAGGATGTGTGAGTGGTGTGGGGGTTGTGGTAGTGTTGTGAGGATGTGTAAGTGGTGTGGGAGGTTGTGGTAGTGTTGTGAGGATGTGTGAGTGGTGTGGGGGGTTGTGGTAGTGTTATGAGGATGCTGTATGAGTAGTGTGGGGGCTTTGTGGTACAGTTGTGAGGATGTGTGAGTGGTGTGGGGGGGTTGTGCAGTGGTAGTGTTAGGAGGATGCGGTATGAGTAGTGTGGGGGCTTTGTGGTACAGTTGTGAGGATGTGTGAGTGGTGTGGGGGGGTTGTGGTAGTGTTGTGAGGATGTGTAAGTGGTGTGGGGGTTGTGGTACAGTTGTGAGGATGTGTGAGTGGTGTGGGGGGTTGTGGTAGTGTTGTGAGGATGCTGTAAGAGTAGTGTGGGGGCTTTGTGGTACAGTTGTGAGGATGTGTAAGTGGTGTGGGAGGTTGTGGTAGTGTGAGGATGTGTGAGTGGTGTAGGGGGGGTTGTGGTAGTGTTATGAGGATGCTGTATGAGTAGTGTGGGGGCTTTGTGGTTCAGTTGTGAGGATGTGTGAGTGGTGTGGGGGGTTGTGGTAGTGTGAGGATGTGTGAGTGGTGTGGGGGGGTTGTGCAGTGGTAGTGTTAGGAGGATGCGGTATGAGTAGTGTGGGGACTTTGTGGTTCAGTTGTGAGGATGTGTGAGTGGTGTGGGGGGGTTGTGCAGTGGTAGTGTTAGGAGGATGCGGTATGAGTAGTGTGGGGGCTTTGTGGTTCAGTTGTGAGGATGTGTGAGTGGTGTGGGGGGGTTGTGCAGTGGTAGTGTTAGGAGGATGCGGTATGAGTAGTGTGGGGGCTTTGTGGTTCAGTTGTGAGGATGTGTGAGTGGTGTGGGGGGTTGTGCAGTGGTAGTGTTAGGAGGATGCGGTATGAGTAGTGTGGGGGCTTTGTGGTACAGTTGTGAGGATGTGTGAGTGGTGTGGGGGGGTTGTGGTAGTGTTGTGAGGATGTGTGAGTGGTGTGGGGGGGTTGTGGTAGTGTTGTGAGGATGCTGTATGAGTAGTGTGGGGGCTTTGTGGTACAGTTGTGAGGATGTGTGAGTGGTGTGGGGGGGTTGTGGTAGTGTTGTGAGGCTGCTGTATGAGTAGTGTGGGGGCTTTGTGGTACAGTTGTGAGGATGTGTGAGTGGTGTGGGGGGGTTGTGGTAGTGTTGTGAGGATGCTGTATGAGTAGTGTGGGGGCTTTGTGGTACAGTTGTGAGGATGTGTGAGTGGTGTGGGGGGGGTTGTGGGAGTGAGTCATAACCACACACCACCCTCAACACACTACCTCTTTCCTGCATCACCATCCAACACTACCAACGTGCAACACACCTGGTCACCTCTACATTATTAACACCTATACTGGAGTTGATTGGGATCATGTGCTGTGTACATCGATGTATTTCTGCCCGACACTGAATACGTCATCAACCTCTAGGGTCCAGGATAATATTAAGCCCTGGCACGGTGACTCCTCTCTCTTAAAGTGCATTAAGGTGATTGTATTTGGCGTCATCTAATCCCTAACTTCATAATGGAGTTGTCAAGGCTTCACTGTAATTACAATCTCCAGTTTTTTAGTTTCGTTTATTCAACTGGTATTATATCTACAAGAGTTATTTAACCAGACGTGGACATTTCTTTTTGTAAAGTCATATGTAGTATGAAATACAATATTTCAGTATACGAGTGTCATGTTGAGATGGGAGTGGTGACATTAGTGGGGCAGCTAAATGCAATTTTTCAAGAGAATCATGAAAATGGTGGTACAAGCACCAAATTTGGCATGGTAATTCTCTAATGGTTACTAGTCAAGTCTGCCTGATTGGCCATTTAAAAATTCAAGATGGCGACCATTTTTCAAGGTGACCGCCATATTGACCTTCAAAAGTTGATTTTTCTTATAGAAATTGATGTAGTTGGTCAATCTGGGTGATCTTGGTGTCGATATGTATGTTTTCAAGCATGCTTAGATGATTTTTTATAGTTTTAAGTCCATTGTAAAATTTTTATCCACATAAAATAACACTTTTAGTAAAAAATATAACAAAAAAGAACTTACTAAAAAAAAGTACGGTAAACAGTGGGAACACAGTCCCACCACCGATACGAGGTAACACTCCCACCACCGATCGTCTCGTGTGAAGCAAGCATATAAATTAAAGAAAATACTTGCAGTGTGTTTAATATGTTACAGTATATTATAAATAAACAAATAAATCGGTAAATCCATTTCAAGTAAATGGAAAAATTTTACTCGACACCGACATTAGTTCCAGTTACCGGTAAATAGCAGACGCTTCAGTGACGTCACTAGTGTTTACACTACACCAGCGGGTAACATTTGATGACATTACTTGAAGTGAATTGGCCTTATTTTAAAAAACCAAGGATGGTTGGTAGAGGACTACTGAGTCAGTGGGTAAGTGTCACATTTGGGGTACTGGTCTTATACAGCGAATAGAGCTCAAAAACTACTTTTTAAATGGAAATTTGGGGGGGCCGTCTTATGCACCCCGACGCCTTATAGGCCGAGATATACGGTGTACATAAATTATATTAATTTCTACCCCTGTACATATATCTGACTATCAACACTGGGTTTTCTTCATCATATGTTATTTTGCAGTGTCTAGTCAACAGCATACAGTATTTTCTCGATTTAACAAACTATAATTCAAGCCACCCCTTTCCGTTAAATCAAAGTTTCCGCTAAATTGAATTTCCGCTATTTTTGCTCGATTTAGGAAACTGGTTCCCTAAATCGAGTGTGATTCTGTTAAATTTCGCGTCAAATGCGCCGTTTGGTGAGTGAAGTTTGTTTACAGGTACATCCGCTAAGTCCGTGTCCTGCTGCCACTGCATGTGTTGTCAACTACTGGGCTTAGACATCATGCCAAAAGTCTCTCGGTAGTCTCAGAAAGGAAGAAGTGTGAGGGAGAAAGTCAAAAGAGTGCGGCTATCAATTGGAAAAAAGGTTGGAAATTATTGAAAAACTGAAAACAAACACCGAACCCCCGAGTTTAAGGCAAGCCATGAATAATGTTTCTATGTGTCTGAGGTGTCTCCATAGGTGTGAGCGTATTAACGGAATTAATCTCGATTTAGCGAACTAGTTCACTAAATCGAGTGAAAAATAATGAAAAACATTCCTTCCACTAAATCGAGAGTTCGTTATACCGGATTCCGTTAAATCAAGAGTACAGAACTCCCTTCTCAAAAAATTACCTTCATTGTACACATTCTTGTACAGTATTGTAATTTAAGGTTTTTGTTTAATGTTTTGATGGACCACACAAAGAAGATTTGAAGATGAGAATTAAGAAGCCAATGGCTTATGACCGATTTTAAAGGAGTAGGGGAGGTACAGTCCTCCTCACTAGCGCATTTACAGGGGCTCGTTAGGTTTTGTGCAGTGTTGCAGCACTGTATTTGGTTATAGGAAACTTGCAATAGTAAACATACCATGGAATTACAGTAAAAAAAATATTAAAACAAATATATAAATGTAAATATTTGTGGAATGTTTATATGTTTAATACAAAATGCATTAAATAGAGTGTTATTAGATTGTATCTTTTACCTAGTGGGCGGTGGTAGAGCGAGGTGAAGTGATGTAAAGGCAATGTGGGGTGGGAGCAGGAGCAGCAGGGAGGGAGGTGGAGGCAGGTGCCC